ATCGAGCCCCGCATCGGGCTCCTGGCTCAGCGGGGAGCCTGCTTCTCCCTCTCCCTCTGCCTCTCTCCCTGCTCATGCTTTCTCTCTCTCTCTCTCTGTATCTCTGTGTCTCAAATGAATAAATATAATCTTAAAAAAAAAAATTAAAAAAAAATGTTCTATAACTAACACATTGTTCAAAGACACACAAACACACATGCATGCACTTAAAGAAAGAGAAAAAGCCCCACATTCTGCAGGTCAAGCAAATAAAAATCTTTCATTTACTATTTCCTTCCAGTTCTCGTCCCTCTGCATATGTAATTTTTACAGTGGTAATCAAAAGTATCCATACAATTGTAGGTAAATTTTCACCGTTGCCTCAATCTTCATGAAAATAGTTTTTTTTTTTTTTTAAAGATTTTATTTATTTATTTGAGACAGAGAGAATGAGAGAGACAGAGAGCACATGAGAGGGGGGAGGGTCAGAGGGAGAAGCAGGCTCCCCGCCGAGCAGGGAGCCCAACGCGGGACTCGATCCCAGGACTCCAGGATCATGACCTGAGCCGAAGGCAGTCGCTTAACCAACTGAGCCACCCAGGCGCCCATGAAAATAGTTTTTAATAAAGCATAGTGTCACTAAATATTTGTTACTCTGAACAATTCCACTACTCTTGAATATCTATAATATTTCTGGGTTTTATTATTTTTCTATCATAGTCAGTGTTTCTTATACATATGTACTTAATGCTTAAACATTATTAGATATAGTTGCTCGATGGTTCCTCACACATGTGACGTTCTCCATTTATACAGAATATAAATAGATTTCACCATAACATTTCCAAAATGAAGTAATATTAATTTTCAAAGTGTTTACCTAGTTGATGGGATTAAAAAGGAAAAACTACACTATCATAATTTTATTTTCTCTAATTACTACTTAAGCTTACCATTTTCTATATTTATTTCTTAATTATTAATATATTCTCAATTGTGTAGGCTGAATTTGCATCCTTTGATGATTAACTGAGGCAGTTTTTTTTTTTTTTTTAAGATTTTATTTGACAGAGAGAGACAGTGAGAGAAGGAACACAAGCGGGGGAGTGGGAGAGGGAGAAGCAGGCTTCCCACTGCGCAAGGAGCCCGATGTGGGACTCGATCCCAGGACCCTGGGATCATGACCTGAGCCGAAGGCAGACGCTTAGCCATCTGAGCCACCCAGGCACCCCTAACTGAGGGAGTCTTAATGTTTTTCCTTTTACCATTTTGCATGAGCTCTTTAACATAAAAAATGCCAAATCTGTTACAAAAAAAAGTGCTCTCTTTCCAGACAAACTACTCCACATCTCTAGAGCCTGTTTGCCTTTGGTAAGATGACATTTACCCATATCTAAAAGATAAGAAATAAGTATTATTTTAAGACCACAATCTTTTCATTATGTTTTAAATATTTAGGCCACGAACTCTCCTGCAAATGCGGTTATGTTCTGAGTATCACTCATTCACTCACTCACTCAACAACAATTTTACTGAACACCTACTATGTGCCAGGCATGGTTCAAAGTAATGAGCAAACTGAAAAATACTGGACCAGCCCACGTCTAAAGTTTCTTTTTTTTTTAATTTGAAGATCTAATTGCCTTTATTAGGCAATTCATGAATTGGGCAGCATCTCATCCACCAAGTAAAGAGACGCTCCCTCAGTTTCATTTCATAAAAGGTGTTTTTTTACTATTGATCTTTACCACCATGATTTTGTTACTGTTGTTGTTTAGAGGTTTTTTAAAGGAAAAGAATCAATTTCAATTACTTATCCAATTATCTGGAAAGCCAAGACAATATATTTATGGCATTTTATATTTTAATGTGCTTTAACATATCTAACCAAAAATATATCTTAGAGAACAGACTATTATGAAAAGAAAGATATATAGAAGTTCACCAAATACAATTTTCAATTATCTACAATAAGGGATTCACCATACAGATATTTGGGACTCAGAGAAAATCCAAAATCTTCATTTCAGTCAATAATTTAAACTTACCTTTTCACTAAATCACATAGAATTACCAAAGGTAATTAAGTTATAGATATGATTTCCACCTCACCTTCTCTTTTCTTGCTCACCGACTCACTTATTCAAGAGTTGAAAAGAGAGAATACTCAGTAATACTGATGAGCAGATAGTATTTACTGACCAGCATGCTTGTCCCTTTACATGTGTGATAGCATTCAATACCAACAACCCTCCCAAGTATTATTTCTTATCCCCATTTATATATAACATGTTTATCAAGTGGTAGAGACAGGATGAGAACCCAGGCCTGTCTGATTTTTCAAATAGCATACTTCCAACAGCTCACAATATAATAAAATCTAAGGGACTGTATATTAGATAAGTTGTTTAGTTTTGGGTTTGCCCACCAGGCTAAAATGTTTTCACTACAAAATTGAGAGGAAAACTATTTATCCAGGAGGAAAAAAACCTCCTTCATGATTTAATAGAGCATGTTATAGAAAAACCTCTTAAGAACCAGGCTTCACCATACCATGTGCTTTGGCCCACTGCAGATTCCGTACCAGAGACTCCGCAGAATACGCTGTTCCCTGAATTGGGTCAGTAAGTGCTCTCTTTTCAGACAAGCTACTCCGAATCTCTAGAGCCTGTTTGCCTTTGGTAAGGTGACATTTACCCATATCTAAAAGATAAGAAATAAGTATTAAGACCACAATCTTTTCATGTTTTAAATACCTAGGTCAAGAACTCTCCTGCAAATCCAGTTATGTTCTCAGTATCACTCACTCATTCAACAACTATTTTACTGAACACCTATTATGTGCCAGGCAAGGTTCAAAGTAATGAACAAACAGAGAAAAATACTGGGCCAGGCCACTTCTAAAGACCCCCCTTTTAGCTTTTATCTTCCATAATTCTATTATCATATCCCTAATATTCTAAGCCTTAAAATTCACGAAGAACTGAAAGTATACTTTTTTTTTTTTTAAGATTTTCATTTGAGAGAGAGAGAGAGAGAGAGAGAGAACAAATGGGGGGGGGAAGGGAGAGAGAGAGAAGCAGGAAGCCTGACATGGGGCTCGATCCCAGGACCCTGAGATCATGACCTGAGCCAAAGGCGCTTAACCAACTGAGCCACCCCAGGTGCCCCTGGAAGTATATTTCTTTACTGAAAGGGTAGCCATGATAATTTTATGTCTATACTCTGTTGAGAAATACATGTATCTAGTAAACAAATGACTACTTATCTATGAAAAAGGTAAGATATCATGCCATCTTTACCTCAGATATTTTTAAGAAAGGAAATAATGTGTTATAACCACTGATATGGCTAAAGCACCACCACTCCTCTCCCCTGACTCAAAATAACCACTATCCAATGTAGTATATATATTCTCATGCATATTTTAATTTTCACTCAGGCACAGGCACTGGCAAGTAGTTTATGCTAATGTTTTAGTTTTTTTTTTTTTTAAAGATTTTATTTATTTATTTAAGAGAGAGACAGATATAGCGATAGAGAGCATGGGCTGGGGAGGAGAGGGAGAAGCAGGCTCCCCGCCGAGCAGGGAGCCTAATGCGGGGTTTGATCGCAGGATCCTGGAATCATGACCTGAGCTGAAGGCAGACGCTTAACTGACTGAGCCACCCAGGCGCCCCTAATGTTTTAGGTTTTGAACGTAACAAAAATGTTATGCTTCATGCATGCTCTGTAATGTGTTTTCATTCAACATGTTTTAGGCAAAGACTTGTGACTATTGATAAATGTCAATTTAAATTTACAAAGCCATATATATCATATTCTTTAATATGAACAAATTACAGTTTCTCTTACTTCTGTATATATTATTAATTATTAATAAATAAAGTTATAAAGTAACAATATCTGGTCTTTGGTATGTAGTTACTTATCTGGAAAAAAAAGAAGTAAAACTAAGATTCTTAAATAGAAGAATCTATTCTTAAATAGAAGCCAAATATAAAAACCAGATAAAAGCAGAACTTTTCCGGTTGAAGCAGGATGGCGGGAGGAGGTCAAAGCTCTGGCTGGCTATGTTAAATGGGAAAGTGGTTAAGTCAGGTGATCCAGCTAAAAGATCTACACAAAGTGACTCACAGCTCTTAGTGAAACACTCACATACCTTATACTCCACCTGCCATCTTTGGAACACCCATGAAACTCCATTTCTCATGGGCTGGTTTGCAAAAGGATTGCCTTTTGGCATGGCTTTTAAAATGGCATTTCAAAAAATACCTGGCAGTCTACCGGGATAATAGGATATATACTTGTTTGGCACCTGACAGGAGCATAACATTATCCCGAGAAGGAAAGGGAACAGAAGGAAATGGAAGACATGATGTTAGCCCTCTAGGGTCATGTCCTGAAAGCGGAATTTAAAAACCATTAAGTCCATCAAGAAAAAAATGAACCCAGCCTTTTCCACCCGAATCTCAAAATTTCTGCAAAGTTGGATCTGTCTGATCCTGGGAGAGGCTGCTCTCTGGACAAGGTTTTCTGCAAACAAGCTGACAGGGCCGCACCAGGCCCGAGGTAGAGATGACGCACAGAGCTCTGAGGATGAAACTTTCTGATTTCAGCCATGCCCGGGACCAGCCTTGCAGCTCGAGTCATGCTGTACAGACAGCGCAAAGCTCAGTCACCGGGAAGACAAGGAGGAAGGAATGAAGCAGGAGAGCTGAACGTTCTAGAAAAAACTGTTTTATCAAAATACATACTAACTCCAAACCTGCACAATAACAGTAGGAATAAAATAATTACCAGGGAACCCTGAGTAGCTTTCTCTTTTTTATTTTACCTTCTGCAACTTCATCCAGTAACACAGTAATTTTCTTGTCTTCTAATAATCTATCTTTTAAAAATTTCATGAAAATTCCATTTGCCAACCCAGAATGCTGGATTTCAAAGGCTTCTGCTCCTTGACACCTTAAACACAGCAAAAAGACAGAAATTTTTTAAAAAGTAAACACTTGCCCCATGGGGCTTGCGTAAACACTGATGAACCTCATTTGCTTCTCTGTCTCTCGCGTGACACCCTCATTACAGAGCTGACCTTTCAGCAGGAGCTAAATGCTCTGGGGCTTAGTAAAAAGAAGATGCCGAGACGTGAGGAGCTAAAGGCAATTATTTAACTCATTTATCCTTTCAAGAGTATCAAGGATGAAAATTTATGCCTACATTTCTATGGATATATCTAGGCTTCTAATCTATAATCAAAAAGAAGTCATCGAAAAATGAAGGTTCTCGAACAGGAATGTAAAACCTGCTTACGTGGCGTATCCAAACACAATATTGGCGGTGACTTTTAGCGCGTCCAAGATTGGGATGGTGTCATCATAGTCATTTCTGTTTAAAAGGGAGGAGGGAGAAGGGCAGACACAAATGTGAAAAAAGTTCAACAGCATTTTAAAGAGAGCATAAGTAATAATGAAGAGGTGAAATCTGATAACACTATTCTATTAGATATAATTTAAGATTCTAGATTCAAAATTCCTTTATCAAATCAGGTACATATTTACCCCAAACAATCTAGGGCTCCTCTGCTGTTGAGACAGCAGACAGTCACATCATCTTTTCTCTGGTTAGCTTTAAAACTGGAGTTACATCTGAACTCTAGCACTGGTTTCTGATCGGTAAATGCTGAGCAAGCACAAAACTGTATTTCTGAGAGGAATAATCAATGGTTCTGTTTCTCAGCAACCCAGTGACAAACAGCTTCAAACACCTGGTCTGGCTACACTTTCTGTGTCTGCGAGACCAGGACTGACAGAAGCCCCACCTCTATGCGTGCTGTTTCTGTCAATTTCTGGAGAAATAACTGCAGTGATGACTAGAGACATCTACAGGCATTCTGAAGAGTTGAACCTTCTGGAGTATGAATAAATACCCATACCCTTCAGTTCCTCACTTTTGTTCTATAACAAATAGGAAAAAGGTTAACGTAATTAACTACATATAGAGAAAACCTATTTCCTTCTAGTTTCCTTCTTGGTCAGCTTCAATCTCACAGTTACAAACTCACAAGCTTAAGTGCTTCTTAGCATTCCTAGGTTTGCCTTAGATTTCACTGTCAAGGCTGATATTTACCTAACTTCGATGAGCTTTGTTTAACAAAGATGAGGCAGTTTACCTTTTCCTACACATGTCCAACAAGAACACATTAAGTCCAGTTTCTTTTTCTTGCATCAATTTCAGTATATTTTGTACACACAGACAGTTTTCAGACCTATATGGATTTGGAGCATCAACAGGGACCATAAAGCTGTTGCCAAAGTTTTCATAACCATGCCCTGCATAATATAATAATCCTGGAAAGGAAAAAAAAGGAGGTAAAAATTAATTCTAAATTGCACTCTGAACATGCATGTAGCACGCTTTAGGAAAAAAACCAGACTTTGTTTTCTTAAAGTTAATGCAAGCTTATTTAAGGATACCCAATTATAAAAACAATGTTAACTAAATTTGAAGACAACAGTCTTCAAGTACTGTATTTTTTTTTTTTTTAAGATTTTATTTATTTATTTGACAGAGAGAGACACAGTGAGAGAGGGAACACAAACGGGGAGTGGGAGAGGGAGAAGCAGGCTTCCCACAGAGCAGGGAGCCTGATGCGGGGCTCCATCCCAGGACCCCGGGATCGTGACCCGAGCCGAAGGCAGATGCTTAACGACTGAGCCACCCAGGCGCCCCTAAATGTAGCTTTTTCTAAGCAAAGAAGGGAAATCTAATTTCATGGATTATTTTTTCTTTTTGTTATGAGATATAAATATCACTAATTTTCCATCTAGAGTCTCTTGAATTAATAATCTAAAATTTGGGTTCCTTTTAGTATTCCATAGATGAGTCATTATTTCTTTACTGAGAAATGATACTATAAAAACTGCACCAAACAACTCTGAAGATTTTCTTGAAGTTTGTTTTGGCTGTACAAAAACTCCCCCAAGAATATCAGTATGGGCTTATTAAAATATTTGATAGAAATACTTGTGAAGACATATTCCTCTGGGCATGCAATCTCTAGGGCCCACTGACATTGTTTCTCAGAATTCTGGATATGACGACCTCTTTCTATGGTATTCTAACGTTAACAGTAAAAAGGCGTTTAGACAGGGAACAACAGAAAAGCTAATCCTTTGTATCCATAGTCCCTATTCCTAGCAAAGAATGAGGCTTTGAACACTAAAACAATGTGCTTCATTTGGTCCTAGAGGGCGGGACCCCGGTCTACTTGAACTCCTACTAAAATGAGAAACATGGTTCTTTCATGTGTAACATTTCAGGTAAAAAATGACAAAATGGGCAATCCATTTATTAAGTGTGGGTTTATTCTATCTCATCTGTGCCCTGAATGAAATCATGTAGGCATTGAAAGAAATGAAAAAGAAAAGGAAGACAAAGTTCCTGCCCCAGGGAGCTTGCAACTCATTCAGTCCTGCTCATGTTGTTAGTTAAAGAACAAAGAAAGTCAGCACATAATGAAATACCATAAATTATGTGATTAAGGAAACCCTGTCCGATAGGAATAGGGTGCAGAGAGGAATCAGTGTGAGGTGAAGCAGCAGTGGGTGGCCTTGAGAGCCTGGGTGCAATCTAGAAAGGCAGAGAAAGAGTGAGGTTCATGAGAGGCAGGCAGAGCAGAAATAAACAAGGTGAGGACGGAGAATGGCAGCTCATAGAAAGGAGACCAGCCTGGCAAGGAATCCAATTATCATTGTAAATGGAAGTGAGTATGCACTGATAGGGAGCGTTTTGAAAATCATGACACAGGGAGTAGATTTAATACACTAAGCAATGAAGATCAAGTGAAAAGAAAACCCGAAGAATGAGGGAAAATATTTGCAAAGCATGTATCTAAAAGGATAACCCGTGTCTAGAATACATAAAGGACTCTTCAATTTGACCATAAAAAGACAAATACCCACATAAAAAATGGGCAAAGGACCTGAATAAACATTTCTCCAAAGAGGATATACAAATGCAAATAAGTACATGAAAAGCAAAACAAAACTATGAGACACCACTTCGCACTTAACTAGGGCGGCTATATTAAAAACACAGGCAGTAACAAGTGTTGGCAAGGATGTAGAGAAAGTGGAAACCTCATTTACTTCTGGTGGGACTATACAATATACAACAAAGTGCACGCGCTTTGCAAAGAGCTGAGGCAGCTCCTCAAAAAGTTAAACTCAGAATTATCATGTGACCCAGCAACAGCAAACGCAATCCAATCCAAGGTACATACACCCAAGAGAACTGAAAATGTGTGTCCACACAAGAATGTGTACACGAATGTTCACAGCAGTGTTATTTATAACATCCACACACTTTAAGCAACCTAAATGTCCATCTGATGAGTGGAAATGTGGTAGGCCCATACAGCAGATGATTATCCAGCCATAAAAATAATGCAACAACACGAATGAACCTTGAAAACAGTATGCTAAGTGAAAAAAGCCGGACACAAAAGGACACGTATGGAATGATTCCATTCTATGAAATGTCTCGAAAAGGCGAATCCATAAAGCTAGAAAGTGGATGTGTTGTTGCCAGGGCTTTGGGATAAGGAGGAATGAAGAGTGACTGCTCATGGACATGGGGCTTCTTTTTGGGGTGATGAAATGTCCTGGAATCGGGTGACTGATGCACAACTCTGTGAATATACTAAAAGCTGCTGAATTGTACACTTCAGAAGAGTAAAATGCGTACTTCTTTGTCAAGTACAGGTACCCCTTGCTTTTTAAGTCTGCGTCAGACCACTTGGCTTTTACGGAAGACCTACATTAGTACCTGCTTTTGCTAATCAAAAGAAACCCGAAGAGGATTTCTGCTTTGACGAAAAAAGGCAAAAGCAAAAACAGCACTGAGTGTGTGTTTGCAGCGAGCACAAGCCCCGTAGGGGCAGCGCGAGCGGCACCTCAGGCTCCTTCCCCGGGAAGCACCCTGGGCACCCCAGCAGCAGCCCCAGCTGTGAACGGTGTCTGTGAGCCTCTGGGCTTTGTCTCCATTTGTGTCGTGCATCTGTTAGCAAGATGTGTCCTTAGGTATTAGAGAAGCCTGTTTGGGTCTGGGAACGCTCAAAAAATTTTCCATACAAATGCATGGTAAGTGCTTCTTCACCGTAGGCCACTTGGGCTTATGGAAGGTGTCGCAGGAGTGCTCTGCATTCCCGTAGCGGGGGACCTGCGTACAAGATGGGATGGTCTTCCCCACTGGTCTGTTCACCGCTTCTGAAAGCAAGCTCTGCTTATTTCTAACCTTCATGCTCATTTCTAACCTGCTCTGGTGACTCCTTCCCATCCACCCAGATCGTGACAAGTCCTCAAGGGTCTTCTCAGGCTCAGAACGCTCGGCAGGTTATTGTCCAGTTTCTAGCTTTCTGACACACCTCAGGCTCGCCCCGCTCTGAAGCCCTGCAGCACCACTCGGGGACACCCTACAGTTCTTTGTAGGTTTAATTTCTTGGATAAAAATCACAATAGACATTAATCTTACACAGTGGTATAGCTTTTTCATGGTTTTGAAAGCACCTTCATATACATGAGCTGATTTTAATCCATATAAGCAACCTTTAAATGATTTATAACCTTATTTTATTCTTTTTTTTTTTTTTAAAGACTTTATTTATTTGACACAGAGAGAGACACAGCGAGAGAGGAAACACAAGCAGGGGGAGTGGGAGAGGGAGAAGCAGGCTTCCCGCGGAGGGGGGAGCCTGATGCGGGGCTCGATCCCAGGACCCTGGGACCATGACCCCAGCCGAAGGCAGACGCTTAACGACTGAGCCACCCAGGCGCCCCTATAACCTTATTTTATTCTTGAGGAAATTAAAAAGATCAAATGATTTGCTTAAACTCATAGAGATGCTAGGTATTTGGACTCCAAAAAAGCATTTTTTTTTCTCATTATATTAAGGGACTTATAATTTTGAGAGTATAAGTCATGTTCTTTATTTTCTGTATCTCCTTCAATACCTACACACTCCTTTACCTGGGCTATGGATATAATGGTGACAGAGCCAGAATTTGGATGCTGGCCAGGTCAACCACCGTGTTCCCACAGCACTGTCTCTTAATAATCTACTGCTGCTTTTCTAGGGACCTTTGCTCTAGAAAATACAAAACGTCAGCGTACTGGTTTTTCATGGCTTCACTACACTAATGTTTTAAAAACTCCTTTTTTTTTTTCAAATGAACTCTTGGGCTGAACCTTAATATATTAATGACATATGAAAGCTGGGTTTCTCTAATTGAGGCCTCAAGTGGAATGCTACCTGGTTCAAATCTCCCATCTAAAGATGAAGGAAAAATGGAATTCAGGAAATTATAACAATAGCCACAATATTTTTAGTGGGCCAGGCGCAGGGATCATTTTGTCTTATTTATTCTGCAATCACCTCATTTTATGGTAGTCTACCCACTTCATAAATCCTTTTGGGCTTATGAAACTTAACTAACTTGGTTCTAGTTATACACTGGTCAGCAGAAAGGCCAGAGTGCTGGACACGAACGAGCTTACTTGAGGCCTCCTGCTTCACCACTCAGCTCTGCTGAGCCGAACGACTCCTCTAGAGTAAATAAGGCTTTCGCCATATTCTGACCAGACTCCTTCAATATCCTTTCCACAAAAGCACAGCGAAGCTGCCACAGGAGATGAGTATAGAAAGGCACAGGGTGGGGGAGATACCGAGCCAAACAGTTACTCTCTATACATATGATAACTGGAGATCTTTATCTTCATTTGTCTGTAAGGACATGTAGTAGAAATCAGTTATTCCTGCTCTTCGAGTGTTTTATATGTTTTAGAAGTGAATTACCAATTTTCTGTTCTGTTGCAGTTTTTGCTTCTTCTACAAACCCACGGGCAACAGGATATAAAAGGGCATAAACTTGAGTGTCTGTGCTTTTCACATCTAAAGTTGTTCACGCTGGAATTCCGACGGCTCTGCCTCGGCCTCCCCCCTGCCCCCCCCGCAGGATACTAGCCGGGACCTGGGGCTGCCAACTGGAGGTAAAGGCAAGGTGCAGGAGGACGGCCCTCACCCTCAGGCCTCTACCACACTTTTATGCATTTAATGCAGATGTGCCTGATGTTTGGGGTATTCACAATACTTCAAAATATAATGCAGTCCCCCTGTTAAGACACGAATCAGTAGGATTTAAAAGGCTTCTAGCTTCCTTCAGCTGCCATTTTGCTTTAATATGCTTTTGTATTCTGTACTCCAAGATGATGTTTTTATATTGGGGCAAAGTTTCAGCATCAGCTGAGTTTGTTTTTTTTTAAGATTTTTAAATTTTTTTATTTGACAGAG